GTTTGACTATGTGGAAATGGGTATTAAAACCAAATGAAAATAAATACATATGCATGTGTGTTCAAGTATGTAAGTTTTCTTCCGAAACTGAAGAATTCTCAAAACTTACTGGGGAAGAGAAATGACTACGTAAATGAGTGATTCCTTGAGGAGGAAAACTAAAGCAAAGACTCCATCTAGTACTTCAGAAGCAAGTAGAAGTTCAGAAAGCCCTTGTATGAGGGGATTAACTTTGTCCTTTTTATGCACAGACAAGGCATAATGTTATCACCTTCGTTGTATCAAAAAAATCCTCTCTCTTTGGAGTTGACAGTTTCCAAGGTCACTGTAGTGATTTCCAGTAATCTTTTTGGAATTGAAGGTGTTCTGGAGCCACAGCATTATCTTAACTGTCTTTTCAGACAATTATATATAAAACAGTTGCCTTTATGCCTTTCTTATTGTTATTCAATGATGGGGTTCTCATTTAAAGATGAAATTAGAGTTTGTTCAACCAGAACAGTAGCAACTGCATTCATTGTCATCAGGTGAGGTCTGTGTCTTTCTGATGGTATAACAGATAGTTGGAATTCATTAAGCCCATTAACAGTGCAGTTCAGCCTTGGCTGGCTCTGCGGAGATACTTGATTATGTCACTTTCTTGTCTAAAATCTTATTCTCCATGAAGTTCCTGTTTCCATTTTGATGACAGTGAGGACTTGCCTATGATTGCAGATTCTTGATTTCGGGGGGCTCTTTTGGTGACTAGGTGTGCCTGGCTTTAATAATTAAAGTTTCAAAGCAGAGAATGAGAACTTGAGATATGTTGGAACTGTCCTTTCAGAGAATTCCCATCCATTGTCCATACAGTGATGAAATGGATAAAGATTATGGAGCTGACAGTATCTTCTGGATGTCTAAAAGATGAGTGCACAGCAGCCTGAGCATGATTTTTGGCTTACCTGGATGCTACCTCTGTTTTCATGTTCTGAACTGATTGAAGAACATAAGATTTAATGGTCAGCTTAAGGCTTTAATTAAGGCCTTACCTCATTTTGGATTTAGTATGTTGAAGGAGAGGATTGAAGACCAGCATTTCTTTAATTTACCTTTCTTGTGTTTTGTTCTGTATGATCTCACACAGGATGGGGTGCCAGCCATTGCTTCGTCCTCGAGAAGCCCCAGGAAGGCAGCTGGTAAGTCTTCTAAGCCAGCCCCAGCCCAAATAGAATGATCAAATCTGTTTCACTGTTTATTGACAATAAATTTTACAGTTTTACTTCTCTTTTCCTGTTTTTTCTTTTTCCTCTTGGGCATCTCTTTTTATAGGGATGAATAGCTTTGCACACAACCATGTGGTAATTAGGTAATGGATTTTGTGTTTGCACCTGCAGACTAGAACCCTGACCTCTAATCAACCTACATTGAAGTGTAAATATTACTGGCCTAAAATTTGCAATAGAGGACTGAAAACTGAATGTGCAAGTCGTGCTTTAAATGATTTTTCCATTATGAAATTATTTAAGGATATTTGATAAAATGTGAACGAGCCAGGCTCATGCAGGTTGATAAATGAAATATGTTGGCAAGATGCTGTCATAATGTAAGCCTATATCACAGTTATTAAGGATTAATCACTGCTAATTAACTAGACTTTTTTTTTTTTTTTTTCCCCATCTCAGCACTCTCACAGGCATCTAACCGCCTCATTGATGAGCTCCCTCCACCAGCCCAAGAGCTGCTGGATGAAATTGGTAAGAGGCACTTCACCCAGAATGGTATGAGGCTTGCCAGCTGTCTTCAATCAGGATTTCTCCCAAATCAGTCACTACTGAAATACACAAGAGCTTCCAAATTAGTTGCAGTCAGGTCAATGATGAGGAAGTTAGGCATCAACAGCCTAAATAACTGGCAGTTTTTTAAGTTAGTCCTTGAAGTTTCTGCATTTCATGTAATGGTTAGTTGCTGATGATGACAGCAGCCAGTCTGTTGTGTGCAGATGTAATCTAATACTGAGATGCACTTTGTGTAGACTGAATTTTTGAAAGGTGTCCTGGAGCAATGCATGTTCTCCATTAAAACAAATGCAAGCTGGGCAGCTGCACCCCTCAGGTGTTTTTGCCGAGCTTAGTGTCAGTGATTTACCTTTCATTTTGTAATCACATACAGAACACAGTGTAAAAAATCTGCATTTTTACTGGGGTGTGTTACAGAATAATTTCCTTTGGTTATTCACCTATAAACTCTAGTTTAGGAACTTACACCAGGCATTGGGATAATTAAATGTATATAGGTTCTATGCTCTTCTGGAAATGAGGCACCCAGACGTGTTCTAATCTTTTTATTTCCTCATTCACTGAAACAAGGACATATGGAGACTGGCGTGAAGTGAATAAATAATGGTCAGAGATAATTTCTATGATTAATATATGAAAAAATACACATTATGTAAAGTTTTTCATTGAAATTTGTATGGATAAGTAATATGGTACTGTAGACTGTGTAGAGTCAATTTAGAAAGAATATTTAGCTCAATAAGGAAATATGCTTTTTTTTAACAGAATATTTAAAGCATCAAGATTCCATTGCTCAAAACGTTAAAGAGGAGGGATTGTATGACTGTGGAGTGCAAATAAATGGTTAGTTGATAATAGTCCTGACATAGAGATTACAAATAGAAAATTACTTTTGTGTTGCTGCAAAAGTACTCTGAATACTTGTCACTGTATGTTCAGCTGAACCATTAACTTCAGTTTTTAGCTACTTTTGGTATTTGTGGTTCAGAGAGGATTCTACCTTTCTTGGTAATGTTATATGCAGTGTTTTTGTAGATATTACCCCTCCAGCAGTGTTGCTGTCTTTCTCTGTGTATTCACTCTCCAAAGTCTAAGGGGATCTGATGTGGAAGGCTTGCAGGTCTGAACTATCGGAATTAATCTTCTAGTGTGCCATTGTAATGCCTGCTTTGTTCAAACCTAAGAGACAGAACCCACAAAAGTGTAGATGGTGGGCAGCTGACGTAAAATGGAGCTGAAGTTTCTGTTCATCCTTCCGTTGGGAGGATGGTTCTAGTTGAGAAAGTGGCCAATGCACATTGAGTGCTTGTGTTTCTTATTCACCGTAATGAAATACTGCTCCTGATCTCATGGTCTAAGAAAATAGCATCCATTGGGGTAATCAATAGTTTATTTCCTGTTCTGTGACAAAGATACCAAAGATAGCATTAGTGAATCTTTGTGCTTCTGAAAGTGTACACAGTAATAAGTGGGAATAATTTTTAGATGTACAGCAAGTAATGTCAGAGGAGCAGAAAAAGTAAATCTTTATAGGCTCTGCATTTGTTTCCAATGAGTCAGAAATTGAAGAGCAGTTAAAAAAAAAGACAAAAAAAAAAGCAGGACATGAGTTACTCTGTAAAAAAGCTAAATAGCATAGTCACTTGAGAATGATACTGGCACTTGTTTGCATTATCCCACAGCTTTGTTAGATCTTTCCCATTTAAAATTGTTACCCAAAGGATAGAAGCTCCTGTGACTTTATTCATAGGAGTATCTTGTTTTTAGGTGGTAAGGAATGCAGCAGCCTGTATTGCTTGCTGTTCAGTCACTGTGGTTTTGTTGTATTTGCATAAAGTACAGCTATTTCAGACTCCATTTTTGTGACAGCCTACTGCTTCCTGCTTATCATAGCTTAGCAGAAGGTGGCTGAATATATTCACATGCTGTAGGGAACAGAACTCACTGAGATAAGTCTTGGGGGGGGGATATCATTGGATTTTGCTAAGTAGGGTAACAAAGCTAACATCCACAGGTTTTCTTTTGATTTTTCTCTCATATCTGGGATTGTAAGAGGAAAGATTAAAGATTAATTCCCACATGCATTTTTCATTTTAGTGTGAAGCAAAATGTTCAGTCCTGTGAATCTAAAAATGCGTTACAGTAAAATATTTATCTAGGTCTTGCTACTGGCCACCTTTGACTGTAGATAATGTAGACTTGCTTAACTGGTAGAGAAGCAGATTGCTGAGGGAAGATTAATTGAGAAGTGGACAACTGGAAGTTTCCCAAGTGCAGTGAATAAAAACACATTGTAATTTCTTTATTATCTTCCTCCATACCTTTAATGTTAAAATATTTCTGTTTATGTGAATAGCTCCCGATCAAATTAACATGGAAGACAGAGAGTCAGAAAAAGAATTTGAGAGAAATGAGAAGACAAATCATAGTTTATGGACTAAGGAGTCATTTAATCTAGCAGAGGAAACAGAAAGGTATGAAAAAAAGGGCGATAAGGCGTATTTGGCTTTGAGTTACAATGATTTAGAATAATGGTCCAAGTATATTTTAACAAGATTCAGTGCTTTCAGTAAGCCAGCTTTTTTAAGAACCCTGATAATTACGACTGTTTTCTTTTAAAATGTGTAGTATTAAACTTGCCAGCATCCATTTTAAATCTCTTACTCAACAGGGCTCACTCTACTCTTGATGATATCTTAGAAAGAATGCTTCACGCAGTTCCTGGAGATGAGGAGATTGAAGAACAACCTCAGGGACACACTGCTGGGTTAGCTGATAACTGATACTTTGTTCATAAGTTTATTTTATATATGTTCTGTGTACAAACCTATGCAGGGCTTTTCAGAAAATGTGCTGTCATTTCTTAGGCAGTAACATGTCAGGGAACTTGCCTGGAGACATCAGTCTAAACTCTCCATACTAAATTGAGAGAGAAAAGTATGGGTTTTTTAATACAATTTCCTGTAGAACAAAAGCAAATACTTCAATAGGCTTGGAAGGCAGTGCATAATCTTCACAGAAATCAGAGATAATTTGACTGAATGGTGGATTTTTTGAGGTGGAGAAGAATGTACGTTAAGAGAATAGAATCTCTTTAGAAAAGACTTTAAAGAAGAGTTTGGGAAGAAGGTTATACTGTCATGGCAATATAGGAGGAAACAAAGTATGTGTGTGTTTATATATACATCACTTTAAGGAAAAGGTTCATAGTCCAAATAACTTTTTTTTCTCTAGGGACCAAAGATCAGAGCCCAGTAACTCTGAACAACTCCATAGTAAATGCCAGTGAGTAGTCACAAGTCATTCCTAACATATATCTTACTTAGGAGCACAAGATACTCTTGTATTTGGCATCAGGATTTTTTTTCTTAATTGAACACAGAAGGCAAATGTCCTCATAACCAGAAGGATCTTGCCAACAAGGCAGACCATTCCTGCAGTGTATATACTGCCATGTTCATAAATGGCTCCATCCAAAGCCCATTCACACTTGGTCAGACTATGTTTACTTAATGCTGTTCTGTAAGGAATCAATGAATCTGTGTTTGGATGTAAAGCAATTGGGGTGATACACAAAACTCTGTCATTCAAGGACTGCAAGCCAGCAGGATCCAGAAGATGCTGGAAGGAAGAAGGGAGAAGAGGAAGGCGGAGCTGTGGCCAGAGGTAGAGCACCAGAAAGCTGTGCAGGGAGTTCAGAAGATCCTCTTCATCTGTAAAGCTCTGGATGCTGTGCTGGGCAGTATCATGTTTATTATATTGTTAGCATGGAATTTGTTGAGCTTGCACAGACTAGGATTTTTGCTTTTCTTGGTTTCCCCCATCTGGGTACTGTTTATACCCTATGATTTTAAAGGAAGAGGAGCTGCTCTGGGCTTAAACTCTCCAGAGACACCAACATTTCTCATTTTTTTGGTCAGTTGAGACTGACAGCATTGTGCACCGTTTGCTGGGGTTTCAGGGCGCGGGTTCCTCTACTGACTTGAAAGCACTGAAAGTCGTCTGGTAACGCTGCATGTGTCTTAGGCACCTCAGCACTTCAAACCATGCCCATAGGAACCAAAATCCTTACGTTGTGGTGTGTACCTGTGGTCTGTGTGCTAATGCCATCAAATCCCTTAAACATCTGTCCCGATCTTATCTGCCCTGGCTTTCCTCTAATAGAAACTAGAAGTAAAGAGGAAGACACAAGATTAAATAAAAATGTTTCCTCAGTTCTCTAAGTCCAAATCTCCATCAGGAACTGTCAAAGCTGACTGATGTTCTGTAGCTAAAATAAAAGGCTGCCATTTTCAATATTTCTCAATTGCAGATATTTTTTGTTACAGGCAGGGAGCTGACACACTTGCATTAATTAACATACCTTTAGTGCTGTGCAAAAATATAAAAGTTCTGGCCTTTTGTCTGGAAAGAAAAATGCAGTAGCCTTTAGTTTTCAGAGAGAACTTCTTATTTTTCAATGAGTAGCACAAAATGACTTAAAGGAAGCTGATCTTCAGTGTTACAGGCATTTAACACTTCTACAGCAGTCAGCTCTACAGCATGTTTTGCTTCCCGGTTAGGCACCCAAAGTTTGAAATGTCCCATACTTTTGGAAGTACTTCCCACTCGTTACTTTTGGAAACGTTGATGGTAATTTTTAAACCTAGAGAACTGGAGGTAGCATCATTATGTTTTTTATCTGCACAGCATTAGCTCGTGTGACCCTGATTTATGTCAAATGTGCTGGCAGGGATTGGGCTTCAGGCTTTGAAACCAGAATGGTTTCTGCTCACAAAGAGGGTCCTGTGTAATGCACCCAACAGAACAGGGCTGGGGCTGGTTTCTGGTTACAAGTGCAGGTTAATGGATCTAGCAGAGATCTGTAGTGTTTGATCCAGTGCCCTGCTACGTGCTGGCAGAACCCAGGCTTTCTCTTTGAAGTGTTGTGTGGCTGTATGTGGTGTTCTTAGTTCTGAGCTGAATTTACATGTTTTTTAGACACTCGTCCTGAAGATCAGAAATTCCACTTACAAAAAGAGCTGTCTTCATCTTCGCCATTCAGGTGAGCCTCTCTGTAAATTAAATCGGGCTTTTGGCAGAAATTGGTGTGTTTTCTGGCTGCATGAGATACATTCTTGGCTTCCATCCCCAGGAGGTGAGAGGGGCAGTATGAAATCCTATCCCCTTCAACTTGCAGTTTGATATAAGGAAAAAAAAAAAAGTCTGTAATTCTTTATTTTTTTTTCTCATGCAGGATAATTGTTTTGGATCAGAGCTCTCCTACATGATTAAAATGGATAGTGCATAAATTCTAATGTATCACCTGCTTACTGCTGCTCGTACAGTGTTCAGCCTGTGAATTGCAGCCCATCCCAGCCACATAAATGATTGTAAAGCTCATATTTCCTTTAACTGCAGCAGCAAGTACAGAAAAAAATCTAATGCTCTCCTTTTAACCCAGTTTGTTCCGGTTTTACACCATCATTGCCCATAAAGGCAGTGTCAGTACTGTCACAGGACTGAACTGTTTTCTGTATATAACATCTTTACGAAGCTGGTGATGTGGTGGGGTTTTTCCTGCACGTTCATGCTTTCAAAAGCAAAAGAATTTCTTGCTCTGTTGCATTATGTTTCGGTTTTCAGTGTTACAGGCAAAATGATTGTAATTCAATGGGCTGCTGTTCCTGCTCAGGCACTTGTTAAATTTTCCCGTGCTGGAGTGTGGAGCACTGTTACAGCCCATGGAGTCTATGTTTTTCCTTGCTCGTTAAATTTAACAAGGTAATTTCTTGTTTTCTCTTTTCTTAGTGCTTTTGTGATGTAGTCTTGAACTGATTTGACTGATTAAGGGGATTAATTGCTGTGCAAAAAGCTAATGAGAAAAAGGCAATGTTCTCCAGAGATTGCAAGTGTAGCAATCCATTCCCTGACAGCATTAGACAAGAATATGAGAAAATCTGTTTAGTATTACGAAGATCCTTGTTTAATTAAACCATGCTTTTGGTAGACTCATCCGAAAAACCATCCCTGGATATAATTGAGGCTTAGTTCAGAATTTTGATGGGGACAGCGACCTCGTACTTAACTTGTCTTGTGATAAATGCTGTTAAGGTGCAAGAGGTGTGAAGATTGTCCTTGTCCCTCTTTGTCAGACGCTGGGGTTGTAGCTGCCTTCATAGCCCTGGGTGCACCATCTCCCTGGTTAGGTAGGAAATGCTGCCTGTCCATACTTGTTAGGTAATTTGGTTTAACAATACTAATAAAAGTTTCCAAGGTTATTATGCTGCCATGTGGTTCTTTTTCTGGTTTTTGGGTGGGGTTTTGGTTTTTTTTGGTTGGGTTTTTATACTGATCATTAACTATATGTCCCATCATCAGACTATGTGCACAACTAGGTGCTGATAGAGCTGCTGTAGGGGAGATGCTGCGAACTGGCAGACCTGGGGGGAGCTTTTTTCAGAAAAGATCAAGAAAAATTAAAAGTCTTTCTTTGATGCAGGTGTGTTGTGGTGGTGACAGAGCAGAAGCGCTGGCAGCAAGGAGGCTGCAGTTTGAGTTCTGCCCCCCAGGTGCCCAGCGGTGCCAGCACATGGGAAATGGGGCTCACGTCTGTGTGTTACACAGTTCATCCAGGCAACAGTTTAACATGTTCTAACCCGGCCTTGTATCAGCTGCAGGTACCCCCTGTTCTCTGTGCAAGTTCTGTGTCCTCGTAGCCTGTGCAAAGGGTGATGACAAATCCATGCAAAAGTCAAATTGCAAATTTTTTGTCTGATTCTGTCCTTAGTGGCTGTTGCCCACAGCTGACCGGTCGTTGTGGGGTTCCCTCTCCCTTTGGGCAATGTTTTGTTACCTTTCACAGACTTGCTGAGTTAAATAGAAAGTAATTAAAACTTGTAGGGCTGCAGCAGTGGAGTGGAGCAAGCACAGGTGCATTTTCAAATGCCCATAATGAGCTAACTTTGGTTTGCAACATGTGTAATCTCCTTAGCTTTTGGATTTCTCTTTCTATTTTATCTGTCAAACCAAATGGTGAGCAGACTGTGAACCATTTCCCTATCTTTTTTTAAATCTTAATGTGGAGAATTTTTATTTCTGGTGGTAGAGAGCCTTTCAAGTCGTCCCATGGCCTGTCTGCTCTCCTTATCGAGCTCAGAGATTGCGGTTTTTCAGCTGCTTGTACTTTTCCAGATTTAAGTTTGGCATGAATGTAAAGCTTCCTAATAACATAAAGCATGGATACAAAGCTGTAATTAACAGGAAGAATTAAACAAGGACCAGTGAAAGACGGGAGAGAAGGTCAGAGGGGGCCCATCTAATGCTGCCTTTCAGCTTCATGAGAATGAAAGGCCAATTAATTAAATTAAAACAGTGATACTGAGCTGTTCTAATTCCTCTCTGAGCTGCTAGCACACAGGCTTGGTGTGCCTGTTGGAAAGCAAGCAGAGAGGGGGAGGTGGGGACATGGGGACAGAGTCCTGTCCCCTGGGTAGGGAGGTGACACTGCCCACAGCTGCTGGGTTTCTCTGGACCCTGTGGACAATTTAAGCAAAGATGAGGAAGAAAAGTGAATGTTCCTTCTCTGAGGAGCTGTGCTCCAGCTCCCTTGTACCTGTCATCGTACCGGGGTTGGGATTCTTATTTTGGAGCAGAGAATCTCGGACAGAAAAACCCCTTATTCCCCCCCAAAATCTCACCCTAATCTGTGCCGGTGCAAATTGCCTTTCTGTTAAATCTTGTGACATGGGATCAGGCTCATTTTCAAAGCAATTCAAGAGTTCAGAGTCAAATTTTGAAAGACAATTAACTGAAGGCAGCCAGGCTGCTGACAGCATTTCTAAAGACGGAGGAATTTGGTGCCGGGGGATCACTGGCTGCAGAGTGTCTGAGCCTCTGCCCCGCAGCCTAATCCCCCCAATCCTAAATCACTGAAGCTCCCTCGCAGCCCAGAAGGGTGATTGCAGCTGGTGGAGATAAATGTTGTGTTTCAGACTCAGGATCAGGTGTGTGTCTGGAGCCCCATGAAGGGGTTTTTGTCTTTTATTTCTTATGGGCTTCAGCATCTTTTGCTTTCTGTTGACGTCCTGGCCCTTTGGGGAGCGGTGGCCCTGCTGGGCCTTGTCCTCAGGGCCTGTTCCAACCTGGGTCTTCACCCTTGCTGGGAAATCAGCTGTCCTGGCAGTGGTGGCCCGGCTGGGCCTTGTTCTCAGGGCCTGTTCTGACCTGGGTCTTCACCCTTGCTGGGAAATCAGTGGATTTAAGATGTATTCTTATGAACTTTGTGGTTTTGAACTGTTTTATTGCTTGCAACCCATTATAATGGCATATGTGGCACTTGCCACTGGAGAAGTGCCACCTGTAGTGGTGGGAGGTGCAGTATTTTCTGTCGAACCCTCCATCAGCTGGTGAAGCAGATGCAGGTGAACTTGTTGGTGTTTATTAACGTTTATTATTGTGGTCTGCACTTAGATACACCTGCTGGGTTTTTGCCAGTTTCACAGCCTGACTGTGACCTTCTCAGGGCCATAGGACATTGCAAACAGGACTCAGTCTGTCTGGAGATGGTGAATGGGGGGCTCTGTCCCCGGCTGCTTGGTGGGTGGTGTCACACCAAGCGTGTCCAGCCTGACCCCAGGGCCCAACAGCAACTTGGGATGTTTTACACCAAAGAAAAATTACTCTTTTTTTTTTTTTTAAATAATTTTAAAAGACTCCCCAGGGCCCAACAGCAACTTGGGATATTTTACACTGAGGAAAAATTACTCTTTTTTTGTTTTTTCTTTAATAATTTTAAAAGACTCCCGATGCCATGAGGCGGGAGGGGTGGAGAGACAAATAAAAGTTTGTGGTTTACCCCACAATTGGGTGGCTCCTCTCCCATGAGAAGACTTTGCCGTGTCTGTGGGGAGCAGCGTGGGGGTTGCTGGGGTCCCCTCAGACCTCCCAGAGCCACCCATGGGTCTGGGGAGCAGCAGGAGAGACAAATAAAAGTTTGTGGTTTACCCCACAATTGGGTGGCTCCTCTCCCATGAGAAGACTTTGCCGTGTCTGTGGGGAGCAGCGTGGGGGTTGCTGGGGTCCCCTCAGACCTCCCAGAGCCACCCATGGGTCTGGGGAGCAGCGGAGGCCCCGGGTGGGACAGGCTGAGCCCGGAGCTGGTGTCGGTGCAGGCAGATCCTGCCGTGGTCAGACGAGGTGGGACGGTGTCACCTTATTCCTCAGCCCCTCTGCAGTGATCCCTGCGTGGGGACCGGGTGCAGCTGGAGCCGTTCTCCCCGTCCCCCGGCGGCGGTGACCGCAGCAGAGCATCTCCATCAGGCAGCTCTGAAACTGGGCAGGGAAGGGCAGGGAGCTGGCGTCCGCCCCGAGACTCGGAGGCTGAGGCTGAGGAGCAGACACTTGTATTTTGGGTGAGATCTGTATCGATTCCCAGCCCAACTCCTGGCAGTTAATTGACAATTAAGGTTTCATTCTGTTTGCTTTGTGTGTTCAGCAAGCAGTTTGTGATCTAAAATTAAGTTGCCTGACCCTGTAAAATCACAGAAGCAGAAAATGAGCTCTTGTTCGGGCTCAGATGCTGCTCCCTCCCTGTCCATTTTATTCCCCAAAACCTTGCTGCTTATACAGCAACTCCCGGGTGGAGCCTGTGTCTGTGATTCCAGAGAGGAGAGGTGGTTCCTCTACATTTTATTAATGAGGCCATTAAGTCATTATCCAGGAGCCCTGGTGAAGCTGTGGTTTTTTTCACTAATGGCTTCCTCTCTCACCTGTTTGTTCATGAAGACGTAGATGATGGGATTGTAAACCGTGGCGGTCTTGGAGAAGTAGGAGGGCAGGGATGCGAGCGCCGGCTGGATGGCGATACCTTTGTTGGTGGCCACCACCAGGGCAAAGGTGGTGTAGGGCAGCCAGCAGACGAGGAAGGCCATCACCATCACGATCACCATGCGCGTCACCTCCCGCTCCGCCTGCTGCGTCGTGTCCGATTCCCGCTGCTGCGCCGCGGCCTGGGGGGGGTTTGGATGAGAGAAACACCTGCCAACAGCATCTCCATCCCTTAGTGCCCTGACATCAGCACTAGGAGATGTCCTCTCTACTTTACTGTCACAAGAACCTGCTGTGAGGCTCTTCATCCTGACAGAGATGTGCCTGGACAGTGTCTTGTGAGCAGAAGGCCACCAACTGTCACAAGAACCTGCTGTGAGGCTCTTCATCCCGACAGAGATGTGCCTTGCTAGCATCTTGTGAGCAGAAAGCCACTAACTCACCCGTGCTCGCCGTACTTACCACTCGCAGGGTCATCAGCAGGTTGGTGTAGGAGAAGAGAATCAGGCTGAGGGGCATCACGAAGCAGGTGACAAACAAGGCCAAGATGTAGCTGTTGTTGTTGCTGCCACCAGTGTACCAGTTGGGCCCACAAGACGTTCTCAGACCTGCAACAAATAAGCTGTGAAATAAGCCCAAACCCATCCTGGGCTTGGAGAGAGGCTCCAAAATAGCAAACACCTGTGCTGCCCCTCCACCACCTGCCACCAATCTCCAATCAGAGGTGGAAGAACAGCTGCAGTGTGTTGTGCAGGGGGTAACTTGGAAGAACAACCCCGGAGAGACGACCATTGACTGAGCAATCAAGAGGTGTTAACATTTTAAAGAGCAGAATAGAGATTTTCCATCTGCCCTTGAAAACAATACACAAGAAGCAGTAGTGAAGTTGAGCTCACATCTGAAGCACATCTCCCCTACCTTCAGGCACGTAGCTGCTCCAGCCCAGGAGTGGTGGGGTCGTCCAGAGCAGCGACCAGCTCCACGTGAAGGCGCAGCCCCCGACGGCGTGTCGGTGCTGGAACCGAAAGTCTCCCAGGGGTCTGCAGACCACAACGTACCGCTCGAAGGCCAGGATGGCCAAGGACCACAGCCCCACGATGCCTGGGAGGAGGAGGAGGAGGGTTTGTGTCTTAGGAACGGGCTCTGCCACCCGCGCTGGGACACGGCAGACAGTGATTGTGAGCTGCTGAACTAAATATTGCTGTAATAAGGTGTCAGATATTTTTCTTCTGACAGGGAGAGCTGTGGGGATATTTGACCCTTAAAAATGAAGCTGGCAATGGGGTGATTGTGACACATCCTGGTCACAACCACAGCTTCTCTGCTGGAGTGTCCTCAACAAAAGGTTGTGTGCTGACACAGCAGATGGACAGCACCCACAAAGGACACCCTGAGCGAGGACACCCCATGTGCCCCAGTGACATTTCCCTCCCTGTGAAGACCAAGACAGAGCGTGTGGTGACCTGGAACAGCCAACCACCTACTTGACCCTTCCCTGTGCTCAAGAGTAGCTGAAGGACAGGAGCTGTACATCACACACGGAAGCACTGCCTTCAGGAGAAACAGCAAGCTGAGGAAACGTTCTCCAAAGCTTCTTTGCTAAATGCAATGGCACCGAAGACCAAGATGTGTCTTGAGGTTTGTGTCCTTACCTGTCATGGAGACCATGAAGCCCTCCAGCTCGCACATCTGTTTGCCGAAGACGAAGAAGCCATTGATGTTGTTGGAGAAGCTGACGGAGCTGCCGCAGAGCGTCACCAGCAGGTCGGCCACGGCCAGGTTCAGCAGGATGTAGTTCAGGGGCGATCGGAGCTTCTTGTACCTGATGGAAACCACAATGACCAAGCCATTCACAACCGAGGCGGAGACCACAACGATGCCCATCAGCACGGCCACCGACAGGTACATGCCCCGCGGGGCCTGGTGGGGCCACTGGGGGCCATCGAAAGGCCCCGGGGTCCCGTTGTGTGGGGGCTCCTGTGAGCTGTTAGAGGAGCACATTGACGCTCCTGGAGACAGTGCACATGGACACTGGTGGAGCCGATGCAGGTGAGCCCCAAAAGCAAAGCCTCTTTATGAAGCAGGAGGGGCTGACGCACCCCGGGGGAGCTTTGCATTAAAATACCTTAAGCTTTTTTTTAATCTGAAGACTTTGTCCTCCCACCCTCCCTTTTTTATAATCAGCTCTTTATTCCAGAGGGGATAAAGAGTGACTTAAAAAAAAAATCTGTTGACTGAACAGCGCATCATTTAATTGAGTAAATAGGTTTGGGGTTGGTTTTTTTTTTTTTCCTCCTTGTGCTTCCCCACGGCCTCCCCCCGGAACTGTGACCCCCACACTAAATATAAAAGATATAAAATATATTTTATATACTTATATTATATGGAAGAATTAATGTGTGTATATAGACATACATTGATATAGCCTGAGAGAGTATGCCAGAAAGTGTGAGAGAGCAGGCTACCTATAACCATATAGAATACAATATATACTCTCTATATAATATGTAGCATGTGCTTATGTAATATGTTAAAAATATCTTATACAGATATATGCATATTGAATTATACAAAAGTAATACATATATATTGTGTCTATATATAAAAAATATATAATATGTAACATATTATATGTTATATCTTGTATAGCATAGAGTGCATGTGTGTGTATATATATATATATATATGCTTTTGTGTGCGTGCCTTAGCACATGACTAACGACACGTGGGGACAGACAGATGGACACAGCTCTGCTCCCCTGAACCGACCAAAAGGGGCCAATCAAACGGAGATGTAACAGCCTGTGCTGGGGCCACCACAAGCCCTGGGGCACCAGCCACCCCCATCGCAGTGGGGGGGCCTTGGACAGCCCAAGCTTTTATTTTTGAAAAGAGATGAACAGACACAGGTATGTAATTAATTAACTCATTCGTCTGTATACACACATGCAGATATGCACAAGTGTGTGTGTATATACAATGTGCGTATACATATATATTCGTATTGGTGTAGGGGGAATATATGTGTAAAAAGTGAGAGAGAGAGAGGTGTGTCCCTATCTGTGCGTCCCTGTAGCTGCGTGTGTCTGTGAGGGAAGCTCAGTTTGGGCCGTACTTGTGCATTTTTGGTCCAAGGGACGGGGCTGTGTCTGTCCCTGCTCCCCAGGTGGGGACATCAGCAGGTTTTCAGTTTCACCGCCGCAGCCCGTGAGGAGGAGCGGTGACGCTGAAGGATGAGGTGGTCAGACACCACCAGGATGGGCCACAGCAGCCTCCAAGGAGGGGGTCACCTTCAGCACCCATGAGCAGCCCGGCTGCCTGAGTGTTCACCTCCAATACACCTTCAGTCAACCCAAAACTGGAGCAGGAAAATACACACTTTTATCAGCTGGAACAGCCGCGGGGATGGTGGCACCTCATGTCCCTCCCAGCCAGGGAGGTGTGTGTGCTCCTGCGCCCTGGGGAGGGTGGTCACAGGGCTGGAGAGGGCACAGTCCCAGCAGAGCCTGCCTCAAACACCCTTCTGCTCCTGAGTAGTGACTGAAGGTGATGGGAACCTCAGAAAAGCTACAGATTTTTCTTTTGGTTTTCTTTTTTTTTTTTAAATCCTCCCGTTACTAATCCCCTCCCGCCCCCCACCCCTCACGGCCCCTGTGCAACCTCTCAGCACATGGAGAGGCACAGCAGGGTCCCTGGGGAGAGCGGGGTACACCAAGGTCATGCAGCTATAGGGGTTTTCTTTCTGTTGTTTTGGGTTGGTTGGGTTTTCTTTGGCGAAAGCAGGGATATCAGTGACAAGCAGCACACGACGCTCTGGTTTAAAACCATCTCCTGCTCCCCGAGCCCTTGCCCAGCCCCAGCTCTTCATCTGGCATCTGTGGGTCACCACCAGCGACGTGCTGTGATGTGCTGAGCTCCTGCGACCACAGTATCAACCTGGAGAGACTCAAAAGCTGCACCACCAGCATCCACTTTTTATTTTTTTTCTTTTATTATTTTTTTTCCCTTTTTATTTCAGGTTCTCGTTATAAATATTAACAAATCTGACAAAAAGTACACAGATAGATAATACTGAAATACAAAAGTCTTTTTTTTTTTTTTTTTTTTTTTTGGATGCAGGTAAGGCAAGGTTCTGAATCTGACAAAAAGTACACAGATAGATAATACTGAAATACAAAAGTCTTTTTTTTTTTTTTTTTGTTTTTAGGATGCAGGTAAGGACAGGTTCTGCAGAGCCTTCACATGGTAGCAAAACATCGGTATCAAACATTTCACGAAGGCCTGGCGTGACGACCACCACTCTGCATGCAGCTGGGACGGACAGACCGACCGTCCGCTTAGAAAAAAGACGGGGATACAAAGTGAAGGGACCCACACACACACACACACACACACTCATCGTGTCCTGCTCCACCTCTTCCATAAACCAGTTTCATGGCAAAGACTGAAACAAACGCTGGATTGAAAATAACTTCGCAAGGAAAAAGGGAGGCAGAGCCGACCCCGGTGCCCCCGCGGCTCTCCTGGAAGCTCAGACCCAAACCAGGTTTTAAGGTGCTGGAGCAGTGTCAGACAGAGAGGATTAACGGGAACATCCTACTTGACGCGCTGCCGGCACTCAAATAAAATCCATCCATATCCCTAGAATGCATTACAAATATTAAGTTATTAAAAAAGCCCCTAGGAACGTTGGTTTGTTGGGTTATTTTGTTGTTCCTCCCCCCGTATCAAACAAGGTGTAACACGGTCATCAAGTAAACGTGGGTTTCAACACACACAGCACAGAAGCTGAGCCCGATTGGGAAACGGCAGCTCTTTCCCTAAGAAATCAGGGTTTAAAGGCTTCAAAAATTTCTGGCAGCACTTTTTGTGGGATGAGAGTGCAAAGACCAACCAAGTGTGGGTCATGGAAGATGAAATCCGGGCTAATTATTAAAATATTATCATATTATTACTGTGCCGTACACAGAAATTTGGTTTGGCCACTGTTTGAGGCAGAAAATGGACCAACCTGACGCTGTGTTGGAGCTGAGCGTCTTCTGCCGGCAGCGTAAAGCACCTTGGTTGGGTTTTAGGTCACAGCAGGGAATCGGAAAAAGGAGGAATAAGGGAAAAGGGATAAAAAAAATTTAGCCTGAAAGCCAGCTTTGCTGGAAAAATAGCCTGGCTGGGTGGCTCCGGGCAGGAAGGCATGGTTTGATGAGGAGAGGGCAGCGTGAGGCTTCGCTGCTGGTCCTGGGAAGGAGGAACGGCCGGTGGCTTCGCTGAGCTTTTTGATTTTGTCCCCCCTCCCTCAATTCTGCAAACGTGAAGCCGCCCGATCCCGGGACGGGGAGGGGGAAGCGTGGTCTGCACCGCACCGTGGGCTCACCGGCTGACGTCACATGGGGTATCGGAGAGGACGAGCACGACATCTCTGGAAGAAAAGCAAACAGTCTTCCTGGGTTATCGGGGGGACACACAATCATTCCAACGGAGGAGCTTTAAATGCATAAAAGACTGTTTAGGCCCAAACCACAGAGACTGACAAACCACCAGAAATATGGCACAATGGCCTTGAGAAAATAGTCCCAGGTTTTAGTGAACGCCTTTTGCTCATATTAGATACACGAACGGAGACTGATGCATTCATTTTTGCCACTGAATTGCAAGGCAGCGAGAAGGTAATTCAGTACAGCAAAGAGTTAGGAGAGGAGTCAGAACCGCAGTGCATGCAGGCGTGTGGTGTCCGGGTGCGTGTGCGCACACGTGTGTGTGTGTGTGCATGCACGTGCATGCTCGTGAGTGTGTGTGTGAGTGTGTCAGGGTGCAAAGAGGCATTTTGGAAAAGCCTTTTAGGGGACGGGACCTGCCGAGCAGAGCAAACCGCCGCTGCTCTCTTCCCTGGGAAGGGCCTCCCTGCAGCCGGGCCGTGGTGCGGGGTGTCCTGCTCTCCCGGCTGCCCCGGTACCACGATCCCCCGTATCCAAAGCCGTAAACGAGAGGAGTCCAAAGGCAGTGGCCAGCAGAGCTGTGCCCCCCCCGGGGAGCAGCTCCCGTGGGGCTCAGTCGCTGAGGACGGCCCCCGGCAGCTCGTTCGTTAGCGTGTGCCAGCGCTCGATCTTCTTGTCCTTGTTCTTCAGGCAGTCAAACCAGTGCTTCAGCCGCTCGCCTTTGGCGTTGATTCCTAACACCACGCACAGAGCTGTGCCCCCCGCCCCCGGGGAGCAGCTCCGGGGGGGCTCAGTCGCTGAGGACGGCCCCCGGCAGCTCGTTCGTTAGCGTGTGCCAGCGCTCGATCTTCTTGTCCTTGTTCTTCAGGCAGTCAAACCAGTGCTTCAGCCGCTCGCCTTTGGCGTTGATTCCTAACACCACGCCACCTTGAGAGACACAGAGAGGGAGAGGAGGGGGTGAGCATCAGCCCTGCCAGGGATGGGGAGGGATGCTGGGGGACAGTGGAAGGAGTGAGGTCATGCAGCCAGGTCCCTCACAGCACCCGACACCACAACGTGGTGTGACACACGGGCCATCACAGCCCAGCTTCCCCAGACCCTCAGGGCTGTGGTCCAGGACCTGCCCTTGGCAGCTTGTTCTTGTGCCACGGACTGGATGCTCGTTGCAGTTGCAGCAGCTGTCAGAGATACTGGGCACTCACTAGCAATAAATCACAGTGACCAGTAACAAAATCACAACAAGCCTAGACATCCCACAGCGATAAATGGAAGCCTCCCTGTTAAACCTGTTTTTTTATTCAGAAGAAAAGATCTGAAAGCAGAAGAGGAGAGGGAGATGCATCTTCTCCCTGCTTGGGTGCTCCTTGTGTGGGGCACATTTGAGGCAAGGAGCAGTGGGGCTGGCTGAGGGAGAGGAGGGTCAGGGGCAAGAGGGTGATAAAAGCAGCACAGAAACCCAGCAAGAAGGAACGTGGGGATGGAGAACAGGAGGATGCAGAAGTGCAGAAGAGCAGCAGATGAAAGAAGAGGAAGCACAAAAGGTGAAGATAAAAACAAAAAGGCTGAGGAGACGTTCTGGAGTTCCTCACTCACCTATGAAATCATTTGATTTCCCGATATCGTAGTCCCACACTGTGACTTCCAAGGTCTTTTTTGCCAGGTCTCCGTGCTTTATCTCGTAGCAAAACTCCTGTTGGGGAGCAGAGACAGAGTCAGGACAAACCTGTGCTGGGTTCAGTGCAGGATCCTTGGGAGGTGGTTGGGGCTGTCCATCCTCCTCCTCAGACTGTTGCCCTTTTGCTACCCAGGGGGAACTCAACATCCATCCCTCACCTAATGAGGATGTTTGGGTTTTTTCCCTTTTAAGTCTGAGGACTCAAAAAAAAACACCCAGGAGAGAACTACAACCCACCTCATTGAACTCGGGGTTCAGTGTCTTCTTCTTCACCGCTGTCTTATGCTTTGCCAGGAGAGAACCCACCTCATTGAACTCGGGGTTCAGCGTCTTCTTCTTCACCGCTGTCTTATGCTTTGATTTCTTGTCCTCATCTGGTTTCAAGTAACTGCAATGAAACCAACACAGCGCGGTCACACACGGAGCGAGGAAGGCCCCTGCAGCCCGGGCACTGGTGGGGGCACCTGCGGGACCAGCTCCTGAGCAGAGGCAGGGTGAGATGGGTGGCTGAGCCCCCTCCTCCCCTCCCAAAATGCTGGAGGAGGCTGGAAGGAAGCAGCATTTCCCCACCTTCACACAAGAGGAGTCGCTGGCTGCCACCAGAGAGCACGACTATCCCACCTCCAGTCCCTAGGGGACACTGGCACCGCACACATGCTCCCAGCTCCCGAAATCAAACCCTCTCAGCCCAGAACCAGTCCAGAGCTGGGACCCTGCGAGGGGTCTGCTCATCCAGAGCCTCTCCCGGAGACAGAACGCAGGTGTGTGTAAGGGGTGTGTAAGGGGGAGCAGGAGCTCGTGCAGTGGCCGCAGCTTCGTGCTCTGCTGTTTCCTCCAGATATTTCACAGGGCAGCAGCAGGGCCGGAAAGCAAACAGGATTAATGTGTCATCAAGCAGAGAGGGCACCTGAAAGCTGGGCCAGGCCAAAGTCAATCCGTCACCATTTCGTGCTGGTGCTGCTCCTTTAAACATCAGTTCTGCTTCCTCGTTACAATTTCCAGATCTTGCTCATAATTAAAAAATTAGGGCTTGTACCGAGAAGCATCACTTGTCTGTCTGCTCTGATTCGAGCCCTGCAGATACAATCTACTGCAGATTGTAGCACAAGGGGCACCTACAAAATCACTGCGTACAACGGGAATTATCTTACTCCAGGGACTGAGCCTTCGATGAGCATTTAAAAAAAAACAAGAGAGGCTTTTTATGCAAACACTACTCCTGCAGAACAATTAAATAGGAAGGCAAAACCGTGCTGCTGATAAACTCCATTACTGGCCCCCCAGGGGCGGTTTATCCCGGCAGCTCTGCCTTAACAAATGTCACCCCTGAAAGTGCCAAAGTTTGGGTCAGCACACTGGGGACAGGGAGGTGGGATGGGCGCAGGGGGGGCTGCCAGCCCTTCCTCACCGTGTCCCCTGCTTTGCAGACACCGAGTCTGAAAAATGCCATCCACCCAAAAACCAGCAGCGACACAGGGCCCCGCGCCAGCCCGGCTCTGCGTCAGCAAACCACCGCCTTCCCCAGCATCCCTTAATAGCCCCTGGATGACACTGACTTCCCTGAATCACTTGGGTGAGGCCAAGTCGAGCAGCACATTTTAGTAATTTTAATGGCTTTTCTTTTCCTTTTTTTTTTTTTTAATTCTGCTGGTATTTTTCAAGAGGAGGGTACTCCCAGTCATTTACACTGGGAAGCGTCAGCGGGACCTGTAAATGTGCCCTCAGCTCTCTTAACCAGGCCCTGGAGCCACCCAAGCCACGGGCTGAGATTAAAGTGCTGTCTGACCTAATTACACTCATGTTGTAATTAGAGCTATTCCAAAGCGTGGGGTGGTGGCCTGGCTGCCAGGCTGGGAGTCTCCTCTCCCTTGGGGACACAGAAAGGGGGCGATTAATTGCCCATCCCTGGGTGAAGGGGACATCTGCAGCAGTTCAGGAGGGCCAGACCCATCCCAGCAGCCATCCCCATCCCGGCAGAGATGGGATGAGCTTCAAGAGTGAAAAGGTTTGGGGTATCACCTGGAAATAAAGCAAAGGTGCCCACAGGGGCTGAGCAGGGACCAGGACCATCAAGCACAGGGATTGTCCTGCTTGGGGATTCGTTCCCACTTCCCCCCCCAACCCGCTGGACTGGAGCTGTGCCATCAGTAAAACCCGACTGTGTCTGCCTGCTTTGGGCCACCATTCCTGTCCCCAGGGCTGTGTCCCTGCCACAGACCCTGTCCCCCAAGTCAAGGGCAGCGCTGAGCCTGGCAGAGGGGCACCACGGCCACCCAGTCTCTGCTGAACCGATGGGGACAATGAGCTGTCCCGGTGCGGGGTGGGCACGGCCACACGCCACGGGACAGATCCTGCACCCACGTTACTTTGAAGGGCTGTAAAATAATTGCCGGGGAATAACACGCTCCAGGCGAATGCAAGCTGCTGCCGTGACGCCCTCATTTGCATCGCTTAATGAGATCAATTAATTCCCACTGCAGGGAGAGGCAAGAGGGGACAGCACGGCCTCACCGAGGGCCGGCAGCAGCAGCGTCTCACCCGGCCGCGGAGCAGCACTCACGTTTTGACGTAGGGGTCGGAGTAGCCGTTGGCGTCCATGGCGGCCAGGTGGGCGCAGCGGATGATGCCCACCAGCAGCCCCTGCTTCTGCGAGCTGTACTTGAGGGAGATGAGGATCCGGCCACGCTCCTCCAGCGACTTGTCCTCTGTTTTATCTATCTGGGGGAGGGAATGCACCCAGTTCGGGGGCTGCTCCAGGACACAGCCGCAGGTGGACACCCACCTCCTCATCCCCGGTCACGTCTGAGGGGTCAAGGTACCCCACGTGCCACAGGGAGAAGCTGCTGTATCTGCAGGACCAGGGTAGGGGACACGGCTCTGAAGCCCCCACTCACCGGCAGCTGCTTCTCCAGGCAGATGTTGAAGTTTTTGGTCTGGTTGGGCTTCAGTTTCTTCAGCGGGATCCGCGTCTCCCCAATGAACTCGTTGTGGCGGAACTTGTCCTCGTCACAGACTGAGATCCTGCAATGAGCACAGGGTGAGTGGGGCCATCGGGGAGAGGGGAGGCGATGGTATGAGGGAAGGGGCTGTCCCATCACACTGCAGGTTCCCCCAGCAAGGGCATGACTTTGAGGCCACTGTTCCCCAGGCCAGTGATGGGGCACCTCCTTTGCAGGCAGCTGGAGGCCATCAATCCTCTGCTCCAGCTCAGCGAGGGCAGATCATGATGTTTAAATGTGACACTCAGTATCTTGGTCTGCTTTACCTCTGCAGCTGAGATTGGAGGCTGCCGGGATGGAGGACAGGCCAGGTCTGGGGAAACAGAGGGATGGAGAAGCTGCACTACACCCTGTCTCCCAGCTCCATCACACAGCCGCCCCCATGGAGCTACCTGCATGCCCTGGCTGGGCCCCACAGCCACCACAGCCATCCTCCCTGCTCAGACACCACCCTGGCCAGGGCTTCCTGCACCCCTCGGGATGGCTGTCACCCCACCAGGGACTGGGCTCCCTCCAGGGAGATGCTCATGAACCCTGAATATCACACCCCTGTGGTGCTGCAGTCGCTGTGTCTAACACACACCCCAGCCCAGGCACCATCCGAAAAGCAACCCGCGGCCTCACGCATCCTAATGGCTCTTTTATTAAAACATCAAAGTCGTTGGTGACTAAAGCAAAGCTATTCTGAGCCATCACCAGCCCAGCTGCATCCTGCCTGGATGAGGAGGCTCTTCCTAAACCTGCTCTTGGACTGCATGGCCAGGAGAAGCGTGCCTCCCCACAGGGTCACCCACCCAAGCAGCTCGAGCACTTTTCCCAGTGTGGCAGCTCTCAGGGTGTCCCCCTGCACTGGGGACATGGCTGCCCGATCTGGGACACAGAGGGGGTCCTCCACCTCCTCTCCCACCACGCAGACAAGACCGGGAGGGATGTGCAGATCCAGCTTGTGAAAGGCATCACACCTCGGCCAAGGGGAGCTCTCCCAGCCCCGTGGGGGTCCTGTGCAGGGCCGGGTCCTGGGACGCACCAAACCCTGAATATCACAACCCTGTGGTGCTGCGGTCGCTGTGTCTAACGCACACCCCAGCCCAGGCACCATCCGAAAAGCAACCCGCGGCCTCACGCATCCTAATGGCTCTTTTATTAAAACATCAAAGTCGTTGGTGACTAAAGCAAAGCTATTCTGAGCCATCACCAGCCCAGCTGCATCCTGCCTGGATGAGGAGGCTCTTCCTAAACCTGCTCTCAGACTGCGCGGCCAGGAGAAGCGTGTCTCCCCACAGGGTCACCCACCCAAGCAGCTCGAGCACTTTTCCCAGTGTGGCAGCTCTCAGGGTGTCCCCCTGCACTGGGGACATGGCTGCCCGGTCTGGGACACAGAGGGGGTCCTTCACCTCCTCTCCCACCACGCAGACAAGACCGGGAAGGATTTGCAGATCCAGCTTGTGAAAAGCATCACACTTTGGCCAAGGGGAGCTCTCCCAGCCCCGTGGGGGTCCTGTGCAGGGCCGGGTCCTGGGACGCACCCGGTGACGGCAGCCTGCGTCCGAGGGCCGTGACGGCGGCGCTGAGCGAAGGCTGTTTGCTGTGCGAAAGCTATAAATGCCTTTCCCTGAGCTGGCAGCTAATGAGTCATTTCTCTGCTGCTTCCCAGCCCGCTCCGGGCGTCAGGAGAGACGACAGAAGAGCAAAGTTAGCGCTTGCAGGGAGCCTCTGCTCACAGCTCCCAAAATCCCAGAGAGGTGCCACACAGGGACTGTCTGGGCTCCCCATCCATGAAGGAAAGGAGTTTCCTTTCCCTTCCATTCTCTCCTTTCTCCCCTTTTTAAAAGTTTTCCTACAGTGTCTTCTTGTCCTTTTGCTGCCTCATTTTTTCCCCTCCTTCACCTACTCCTGTTACTGCCCATTTCTCACAGGCAGCACCTCTGCCTCCAGGGACCACACTCCGCCTTGCCGGGTTCCAACAAACAGGACCCATTCAGGAGGGGTTAAAAGTAATTAAAGATAAATAGTGCCCTGTGATCCCGCATCAGAGTAACTAACTGCACACCACACTTCTGGCCTGCGCAGTTTGGATGGTTTATCCGTGGATAGTTTCTCCGTGGATGGTCTGAGGACACTAAAGCTCACGAGTGAATAACAAGGCAGTGAGGAAGCCACGGAGATGGCTCAGCCGCACAGCACAGGGCTGGGGAGCAGCAGAGGAAGGAAGTTTGGAAAAAAATTATACAAGGGGGAAGACGGGGAATGCTGCTCTCCAGAAAACCGTAGCTGTATGCAGCGTTACTATAGATACCCATGGAAAAAACCACCCCACCACAACAGTAAAATCCTCAAAGAGAATCTCAAATGCAGGCACGATATTTCCTATTTCCTTCCCTCCTCTCACCTCTCTTTTAAAGAACAAAACCGAAAAAGGAGCAGCAGCAGCAGCAGCTCCAGACACGAAGCGGCGCTTGCCAGGCGTGCACAACCCCACACCCATCTGGCCGAGGCTCTGGGGCTGGAAAGCGAGCGCGCAGGGAGGAAAGCCAGGCTGGAGAGGAGAGGAGCGAGGTCCTCACCAGGAGCTGACAGCCAGGGGTCTATTTTTACACCCGGCAATCGCAGAGCGGTGTTGTCTCCTGCACGCTCGGGGGAGGTAGGGTTCGGTGACAGTTTTACCTCTGAAGAACATGAGTAACAAGATCTTCCCCCGACAATGTCTAGATGTGCTCCAGAAGCACAACAAGATAAGGAATGCAACATCCCACTTGCTGCCAAGCCTCGGAGCCACCCGGGACGGGCAGAAGCCTGGGAAGGAAATGGTTGGAAAACTTCAGTGGTGGCTGCCCGGGATGCCCCAGCCTGGCACTGCCACCGGGTCCACAACCCTCAGCCTGCCACAGTGCTGCAGGGCCCCCTTGTCCCAGAGCAATGACAGCATCCCGGGCTGTCTCCTTGTCCCCACCAACATCCCTGGCTAATGAAAATGCTTACACAGAGCCCAGTGCCCTGGGAAGCAGTTTTTGGCACATCCGCAAGCAGCACGATGGAGCCAAACACACCGTCAGGTCTCTCCCAGTCCCATTTTTCCCTCTGGCATCTCTGGCTACTTCTCAGGTGGGTCCCCACATTTTGTGCCCATCTGTGTGTGATGACCAGGGGTGGCTCAGATGCAGTTTCATGTCAGTCCTCCCAGTCCCTCGGACTCGGCCCCCGATCCCCAGTCCCTCTGGTTGGCTGTGGTTCATCTCCACCAGGATGGTATTTTTAACTCGGGCAGGCTGGCAGGGCAATGGCCCCACAAGTGAAGGCAGCGAGCGTGAGTCAGATGAGCAGGCAGCTCCGGCCCCAGCCCTCCCCTCGGAAACAGGCGTAATGCAATTACACCAGCTTCAATTTTATTACGAGAAATCGTTGTGATGGAATTTTTATGCCTTGGGTTAGAAAATCAGCTCCATGACAAACAGCAAGAGGGCCCCTGGCAGCCACATTCACCTGTCACGCCGAGCCCTTTACTTGAGCATCACCCCTCCCTCGTCTCTTTTTATTAAACCAAATCCCCTGAGCACAGCTTTTGATTTGACAACTTCCACTGAGGGGTCCTGATCTTTAAGTTAAGGGCTGTGAAAACCACCTCGGAAGAAAATGAAGCAGCAAGTGAACAATCACTGCTCATTAAACTTATTCTCCCTCCTACTCAGCCCGGGCTCCTGGGTTACAGTCCTGACTCACCGCACAGCTCAAGCAACCCCGCTCCGCTGACTCACGGCTTCTGCTCGCACACGCGTTCCTCTGGCCTCTTCCACACCACGGAAAGAAGAGAACAGGGGTCAACAAGGACCCTTTTCCACAATGCACACTCACGTTACAGGCAGCAGAGCCTGAAGATGCATCTCCTGTAGCCAAGATCCCTTATGGTCCCTATAGCAACTTGGGAGGCTCTCAATGGAGGAGCCGACGCGCAGGTGATGCCTGCTTGGCTTAAGGACCAGCAACGTGTGGCAAGGAGAGAAAACAGAAAAAGGTGGTGTCCTGGGATTGTCCAGCCCTTCTAAAACCAAAAGGAGGATTCAGTGTTGGGCTCCATCACCAAATGCCTCAAAGTCTGAGCACAGAAAACACAGCAAAAGTTAAATGAAATTATGAGTGTGCCTGCAGCGCTGGAGCAAACCTCATTCAGTGCTTCTGGAATAAAGCAATTTGGGACCCCAAATCTCTAAGTGTCTGCAGTACGCCTATTAGACCTGATCAAATACTATTTTCTGAATAATATATTTAATGAGTCATGATGTTTGTCAAACACATGATTAAACAAAGAATTCCTGGCATTCGTGGGCTAGCTGAGTATCATATGAATAATGCATCACTTCGCCAATATATCTGGATATGAATAATTGTATCCAATATCTGGCTGGCTCTGATATTTATTGTGAATACAATCTATTTATTGCATATTACATGTATTATTTAAATGTAGGCGATTGTATTCTGCCTATTCCAATTTCCCCTGCAGTGTTTCTCTGCCTCCCCCCATCATGTCCTCCAGCTTCCCACCACCAGAGACAGCGGCCGAGCTGCTGCGGCACGGCCGTGCTCAGCGTGCAGGTGGGGAGCAGAGGTTGCTGCAGACGGGGGCTGCAGGGTGGGATTTACCTCTGGTGCCAGCAGGGAACCTGTCCCCAAGCCCAGCCATCCGACCTGCAGGTGGGATTTACCTCTGGTACCAGCAGGGAACCTGTCCCCAAGCCCAGCCATCCGAGTCCAGTAACTTTTGAGAGGCTCTGAATTCACCTCCTCTCAGGATGGTGGGTGGTTTCATTGCTATTAAGCCTTGGGCTAGACTCAAGGATATTTAATTCGATGAATGGATGAGACCTTTCAAGATCCTCCCACCTGCTGCGTTTCATGAAATCTGAAGTATCTGGTGTTTTTTTGAGGGGGTTGATTCATTAACAAAATCCTGCTTGCCAGTGCAATTAGCTGCGCTGCCTTCACCTCTCCTTCTCCCTTGTGGGTGGCCTCGCCTGGGGAGGTGAAAACACCAACGGCTCCCAGGGCTTGGGTTTGTCACAGCAAACTCACTCCACCAGCTCAGAAGAGGCTGCACAGGGATGAGGGGCAGCTTGTTGGGGTACGGTGTGGGGCTGGGGGGCTCGGGCAAGAGGGTGTCTGTTACTCTGCACTCCAGGAGGCAGAGGATGCCCCTACTCTGGCCACTCATCACCCCCAGGAGGGTTGCAGGCACCAATAGAGTGCTCCAAGCCCACACCACCATGCTGGACACGTCCCACCAAGAGCCCAGGTGGGCAGGGAAGATCTTTGGGTGCTTTTCCAGCTTTTCCGCTGCATCACACGCTCTCCAGGCAGCAGGGAGGAGAGGGCTGGCAGCAGCTTTGATCTCCGCCGTTATTTTTACATTAAAGAGACTTTGCAATCGTGTTCCCTGCCCCTCCGTGGATCTCGGCACCAAGGAGACACCCGGGGAATGGTCACCTCCCAGACTGAGGGGAGCATCACTCATGCTCTTTCAACCACCAGCAGCTGCCTGGCAGGAGCCTCGCCTGATTAGCACAAGGAAAGCCAGCGCCACCACAGCTTTGAAGTTGGCTTTTCCTGGCGGAGAAGAAGATACTTTGCAGAGATGATGGGCAAGGGAAGAGAAGCACCAAAGGCAGGACAATACATGGCAGGATGTATTGGCCCCATGGGAAGGGCCAGTGCCACCAGTGTTACGGAGGGGCTCAGCCCACACCAAAATAAAAAAATCCTCGATGAGCCCCAGCCACCAGGGACCCCAGCCCATTCGTCCTCCTCACATAAACCAAAGATCCCTCCCCAGCCAGGCAGTGAGGGCACAACTCAATGGGTATCTAAACAAGGAAGTGCAACATCTCCCAGTCTTACATCCTTCTGTTCAATTAAATAGCCAGTGTTCGAAAAGAAGAAAATCTGAGCAAGGAATTAAAATAAAAGACGGATTTTTCTACCTCGTGGCTGGTTTTCCAGACCATCTCATCCAAACCTGCCTCAGGATAAACGAAATCTCCTTTGCCAGTATCTTCAACTGTGAAGATGGAGAAAAGCAAAAAGGGGGCTGGGGAACTGATCTTAAGGAAAGTGAAGACCACTTGAATTTTAGGCTCTGGCTCCCCTGTGCAAGATAAGAAACGGAGCCACGGTGCTCAGAAGCTTTGTTTTAGCAGAGGAATTCCCTGGGCCATAGGCAAGAGTTTGAGTTCCCACCTGAAATTCTGCCAAACCTATTGGGCAGAGCAGCTGAGCTCATGCCCAGTGCCCGAGGGCAAGCTGAGACCTGCTGCCACAATGGCCATTTGTGCTGGTGGCCGAAACTCAGCACAGGAAAAAGTGCCCCATGCAGGAGAAGGCTGGTTCTGCCCATCAGCACACAGGGATGGGTGCTGCTGAGGTGCCTAGACCTTGAGTTTCACTGGTGGAGGTGGGGCTGGGGACTCCCACACCACCGTGCTGCCAGCAGGGACTGGGCTGTGCTAAATCCCACAGGATGGAGCCCTCTCCATCTGGATGCAGTGCCAGCCCCCAGCATTATACTTGGAGGTGAGGTGGGGATGCGTGTGGCCTCCACAGCGCTCCTGGCCACCAGCTGCCCTCATGGCAATGTCACCACAGGGCTCACCATCTCCTTGGGGAAAGGCTCCAGAAAACCCCATTAGTTACCTGCAAACACCAACGAGTCAGAATAGCACTTGGATATTCCTCTCCATGCAGAGAGGATTTTGATCCTTAATTATCACCTAATTCACTGGGGCTGGCTGCTGGCAAGGAAACCTCAGCTGCAAAGTGCAGGGGCTCCTGCAGAGCGCTGGAGACTGGTGTGCTCCAGCCTGGGAACCTCCCTGCAAAGAGGCAGCTCCGATGGGTACAAAGGTGTGAGATGGATGGCTCTGATGGCATGAGGAGATGCCAAGCCCCGGGGATGCTGTCCCCGCATGAGCAGAGGAGGCTTTGCATGAGTTTCACACCCTGCAGAACGCCTGGCTGGGAACTTGGTGCAAGACAACCGCACCGCAGGTGAGCCTGAGGCTTCCCTCACCTCCCTGGAAAGGAGCCCTTTGAAGTGACTTTGGGTAATTGGCCATTAACAGATCTTGCCAGCAATCTCCTGAGCTCCCCGTGGAGTTCCCAAGACAGAAACGCTATCTCCGTTCAGCCGCATCCCCCACGAGGCGAGGGGTCCCCATGCACCACACCGGGTACAGGGTCAGTGCAGGGTGTTTAGCTCTGGAGGGGGCAGGAGGACCCCCATGTGCTGAGCCCTGCAGGAGCTTGTGGCCACACTTGGCTCCCTGTGAAGCACCCGGAACCCCCCGGGGCTGGCAGGCAGGAGAGGGAACATGCTAATGAGGGATTTCTGCAGGGAGAAGGGCAAATCCAGCCCAGCCCACGCACACATTTCTGCGTGTCCCCCCTGCCATCCAGCATCCTCGCTGCCTCGCAGAGTGGGAGTGCGCAGCCTTTCCCCAGGGAGAAGCAGCTACTAAGGCCCTGAAAAGGTGGGGGTCAAGCCCTTCTGCTCTCTGGCACATTTCAACAAACAACTCAGACAAACATCTCTCTACAAAACGATTTCCACACTTAAAGAGGCTGAAAACTTCAAAGCCGGGAGTGAAAAAATGAAAAAAAAAAATACCCACCAATAATAATAATAAACCAGAGGCTTTCCAGCCCGACAAGCCTGCAGCACTTTCAGCATGACTAATATTTTCCATGTGAAATAATAATCCACGGCGCTAGATTTCTCATCTCTATGCACATTGCAAACAACAGGTGGGCTCTGCCCAAATTCACCTCTGAGCAGGACCTTTTACAAGGCAGCTTTGCGCTCTCGTCATGGGGAAAATAATAAACTCCCAGGGTACCCACAAATAAGGAAGGTCAGATTCCAGCCACGGAGCTCACAAAGCCCTGAGTCCTCGGAGTAGGATGCAAAATCCTCTGTTTGACAGCAGACCTTACAGCAAATCCTCCTGCACATCAATCCCAGATCACAGCGGTGATGGAGCTGCCGAGGTCACCCAGCACCCACCCTCCCAGGCAGGATCTGTCCGTGGGCTCCAGGTCAGCTCCTGCCCTCACCCAGGTGGGACAGTGGCCAAGACCTTTGCATTCACAGGGGTCTGAATCCACAAAGCAGCACTTCCAAACCCACGTGGCCCCACCACGCTGCCCCTGCCCACCTCCAGCCCCAGACAAACATTTCTCAGCCCCAGGGAGATGCTGCCAGGGGATGCTGAATGTGCAGAGACTGAACCAAACCAAGAGAATAGAATAAATACATACAAATGCTCTTCATTTAATTTGACAATAATTCATAGATGCCTCCAGCTTCCTTCCACAAAGCTCAGCTCTCCCCAGAGCCTTCCTGGGGAGATTTTCTCAGCAAGACACGACCACAAAGCCTTAACATATGACAGTGAGAGCTGGGCATAAAGAGGTTAAACCCAAATAACAGCACCTCTGCAGGCAGGAGCCCAGTGAGTGAGTTATGAAGTTAATGACAAAGCAGGACCACGTTCCTCACTGGCTATTCCAGCTCAGGCTCCCTGTAAATCAAACGTCAGTCACCGCAGAGGTGATGGATGTGTGCTGGGCACGCACACACATTATAGGTTTTGGTGGGTAATAACTCTGCCACAAGCAGCCACCAATACAGTCCTGTGGGGGTCTCTGTGAGACCCCGTGGAAACTGCCACTGGGATGGGGAGGGATGCCTGCAATGGCCCTGAAGGGATAGGAAGGGACAGGAAGGAACATGCATCCCCTCCCCTAGTGACAGGCTCAGCACCCTGTTCCTCTCCTGGGGTTCCTACCGTAGGGTCTTGCGGATCATGTCCTCATCAGTGATGCCGTAGTAGGTGAGCGTCTCGTTCCAGGTGGGGTTCAGCGTGTTGCGCAGCGTTTTGGTTCTCAGCTTATTTGCCTGGAAAAGCAAACGAGGTGGTGGTCAGCAGGACCCAGCCCCAGGCAATCATTTGGGCAACGGTGGCCAGGGACTGGAGAGAAAAGGAAGCACAGTTTGGAGATGAAGGGGCAATGGGTGCTGTTGCCCTTTTGCCTCAGCACCCTAACCTGGCTGGTCCTCGATGGGGTGGCCCAAATCCAGCCCGACCGCAGCGATAAGCAGAGGGGCAGAGACACGGCGACTCACTGGCTCATTTGTAAAGCAATTCAACCCTGCATCCCACATCCTGGAAACAACCAGCAAAATAGGAACCTTGGCAGAGCGCAGCGAGAGGACGGGGATTTCATTTATGCAGCAGGAGAGCGAGAGAGCGAGAGAGAGAGAGAGGGAAAAAATGTCTTTTCAGGTTCATTAAAAGATACCAATTTGCTGTTCTGGCTGTTTATTTGCATTCTTGCTCCCAGCACAGCTCCTGTTCCTGCCTGACTCAAAATAACTTCCTTGATATGCAGTTTGTTAGCACTGGCAACTCCTTCCAGAGCCACAGTTCTGTAGAGCAGGAGGATGGGGACAGCAGGACTGTCCCCGGCATGGATTGGGGCATCCTGGCATACACCCACCCCACTAGGTCGGGGGACTTCTTGCCTGCTTCTGCTGGGGACAGAGGGACAGCAGAAGCAAAGGGCTGCAGGCTTCAGATGGAGCTTCTCCATCAATGCCACCCCCCCAGCCCGGGACAGCCCGAGAGAGCAGCAATTTTCCCTCTAATTAAGTGTAAAGTTAGAAAGTTCAATCCCTGCCTCAGCCACCGCTGGCCATGAGGAACTCTCAGAAAATCAATACTTCAAAGTTATCTTGTGCATCTTTATGCGAAGCTGCTCCCTTCCCCATCTCTGGTTCACCAGTTTTGAGGCAGAAGCAAGTGGGATGTGAAGCATGGGGTGAAGAAAAGAGCTTGTGCTTGCAGCTGAGAGTCACCTTGTGGGCACATCCTTTCCCCACCAAAACCACCCCAAACACACGACCTCTTCCAGATTGACTCGACTCTGACCACCGGTCAGAGTAGCTGCTGGTGCAGCAGAGACATCGAGGAACCACAGCACAGCATCTCACTCCCAAACGCTTTGTGTGAAGCTGCTTGCTCTGGGTGTGATTGCTCAGAGGTACAAAAAAGCCTCTGCATTTTGTGCTGTGTTTTTCATTAAGCTTCCCAAAGCCATTCCTGCCTCTGAAATAAACCCGGGCCCCGTGCGGTGCTGCTGAGGCTGGGTGAGGAGCTGCTAAACGCTGAGCGCCAGGTTAGCAGGAGGATACTCCCCGAGCAAGGCGTGATGCTCCGGGAGCCGACTGGGATGCAGGGACTCAATTAGCAGCATCTAAAGCCCTGCAACAGCCATCGCTTTCCCTGTCACTCAGGCAAGAGCTTGTTTTCAGCGCAGAAGGTGCTGGTCAGGCTGCGCTGCAGGATCTGGGCACCAGCCTCACCGAGTCCATCCCTGCGTGCCCGGAGGCATGGCCAGGGGCAACAGCAGAGCGATGCAAACAGAAGGAGACTGCAGACAGGCACAGCCGTTTATGGCCTGCTGTCGCCGTAGATTTAATACCTCGTTTGCCTTAAATCTTTCCTGATTTTGCAAAGTTGCTTTAAACAAGGCACTTTGTCACACCAGGTTTCATCCCACACCTACTTTATGTCCTTCCTCAGCGATATTGTGGCCACCACGACAGGCTTCAGCCCGAGCAGTGAGACATGTATCAGAGAGGGAGCGTAAAGCCTGCTGAGGGGTGATAAGGACAGGAGGGAAAGTGCCCTCCTGGCACCCACTGTCTGCTCAGACCTGCTGGGGCCTGATCCTGATTTCAGGATGGAAAGTGGGTTCAGCCAAAGGAGTAACATGATGGGCATCACCCAGCAGCTAACACTGCCCTGGGCAAGGGACACAAATTAAATCAGAGGACCTGAGCTCTGGGAGGGCCTTTTTCTCCCATCTGGGATGACTTAGCAGTGAGCAACCAGCTCACATGGAGACCTGTGCATGAGGCGAATGAATCCCACCCTCCTTCCCACAGCTCTGGCCTGGGCTCTGACGCAGGTGCCCGAGAGCCAAGACTGGGATAGAAACACCCGAGGGACTTGGAGATCATCCTGCTGCTGAAACGATTGTGCAGAAACACCCAGCCCTGGACACATCCGTGATCCCCTCACTTCTGCTCACCTCTCCCAGAACAGATTGGGGCAGTGCTGTTGGGAAACAAGGCACAGAGACGGAGCAACCACAGAGGCAGAGGGACATGGGGACAAGGAGAGGGTCCCCCTGAGGCTGCTCCTGCCTTGCACAGTCTGCAGCTCCTGCGCTACCCTCGGCTCAGAGCTTCCCTCCCGCCTCTCCGGTCTCCATCACCTCCAGCAGAAATGCTAATCAATGCATTTGCAAAACATGGAAATGACAGATAATATCGCTGATGAAAGCGCTCCTGGCTCTCCTATTTCCAGCAGAACTTGAAATGTGGTTAAAAACTCCCTCTACCGCCCTGAACATTATGAATTAATTCAACTGAACCGTAACAAGTAAATATACCTCCCCCAAAAAGGTCTTCCCTTTAGTGTAAAATAAGAGTGCAATTAATATTCATAACACATACATTTAGCATTTAAATTCAACATCCCCATCAGTTACACTAAGCCCTCACTACACATCAATATCTTTAATTACTCTTCTCTCCAGCAAGCGCTGAACCTAAGTAGATGGAAATATTTCCCTTACGATTTATACTCTGCTTTATTAGGATCTGAGGGGTTTTAAATGCAAAAGAAAAAGGGAAAAAAAAAAAAAAAAAAAAAAGAGCTGGTTTGTTTATAGCTCCAGATCATTTCACTTGGTGCTTTCCAGGTGCTTCTGGAGTGCAGCATTTGCACCCCCTGCTCCCAAGGGTGAGGAGTCAGGGCTGGCACCTGGCTCCCAAGCAATGGTTTATCAAAAAGGCACTTGTTGCCCCTGCAAGGATGTTTTTAGCCCCAGTTCTTAGCTCCTGCTGCCACTCTGTCCTGCTCACCTGAGTGAGAGCTGGGTAGGAGACGCGAGGTCTGGCTGCAGCAACCAGCAGCCTCTGGTGAAGAGCTGCTCCCCGGGGAGCCCCCCGAGTCTGGTTTCAAAGGGAAAGGTGCACACCCAGGAAAGGAAGGAGAAGCGAAAAGGCATCTTACCTTACTGGCTCCGGGAAGCAAGTGCAATTTGACGTATGGATCAGCCAAACCATTATGGTCCATCGGCTTCAGGCCCTGGAAAGGAAACAGCAAAAAGCAGGAGTCAGAACACTGAGACGCTGGGCAGGCAGGGTGGCTTTGCTGAGCCCATCTATCGATGCCCATTTCCCGGGAATGTCGTTGGTCCACGGAGATATTGCACAGTTTCCCCAGGATTGGGAAAGTAGAAGACTATGGTTGGTGCAGGATCTGGCCTGTGCAGCAAAAGCCAAGTGCACTCAGCGTTCAAACATCGTCTGCGGTTTGTGCCGAGGAGGAGCTGCCTCCCGAAGGCTTCTCATCCACACTTGACATCGGCCGCAAAGCACCTCTCTGCTCTTCCAGCAGCTGACTCCGACACCCTGATCACAATTAATTTGGGGGTTAAGCAAATCAGCGCAGTGATTTTCAAGGCTTAAAATTACAGGGTTTTGTCATTTAATAATTGCTTATGAGCAAACACACACCTCTGCTGTTGTGGTGTTACTTTTAAGCGCTCCCAGAGGGTGTGATAGCACCTACCTACTCTTCGTTATTAAGGCACAGCTGAAGGAAGAACAGCTTTCAGGCCAGCGGGAGGCTGTCGCCAGCCGACTGCCGTGGGGTTTGCAGGGAAATGGGCAGGTACCAGAGCAGAAACACAAGGAAAGACTCGCTGTGGCCATTCCTGATGGATTTTTCTACAAGCCTCTCACAGCTCTTAAAGGACAACATGGATCGTGTTTGTTATAACGATGCTCTGGAGTTGATCCTGCTTCGGGCAGAGGGAGGAGACAAACCTGCTGTTCTTCTAAACAACCAGTGGGCTGAAAATTATCCAAGGGTGATGCACAAACTCAGCCCAAAGCCGTAACGGCACAGACTGCGTGGAAACAAACTCTGTGGGGTAGGGAAGCAACGTAGGAGCATGAAAAATGGAGCCTAATTTTTACCAGTCCTAAGTGGAAATGATAATGGCTACACCATAAAAGTCCTTGGATGATTTCCAGCCTGGCTGCGGGATCCCTGCAAGAGTTATTTCTAGGCTGTCTGAAGGCACTGCTCTGTCTGGATTAGAGGAGGATTTCTCTGTAGAGGTACCCATCCAACCCTGGCTCCAACCTGGGCATGGAAACCAGGCTGGGTGATACTAAAGACTCATCATGCCTTTTGTGTGATGAGCAGAGAATTCGGTGCCTGGGATTAATGAATATGTGTATCTGGCAGGAAATCATTCATATGGGCTGCTGGTGGAAAGGCTGGGTGCAATGAAAATGTAGTGATTGAGGCCTGGCTTTGGGCAAATCAATGGGGGAAATGCTGGGGTAAATCACTTCCATACTTTACATGTATGAAATAACACACCCAGCACCAAGGCAGCCCCTCAGGACCCTCCCATCCCACCCTTCCCTGATGTACACCACATGGTCAAGGGTCCGAGCTGCTTCTGACCTTGGTGAGGACTCTGCTTTTGAGATGAGAGTGTGGCCCTGGGGCAAGTTAGACCAAATGGTGCCCAGCAAAGAGGATTTGGCTTCTAAAGCAGAGCCAAAAGGATAAAAATATCAGCAGCGAATGCAGGCTAAATGGCTCTGTTTTAACTGCAGTGCCTCTCGGGTGATGTCCCTCGCCCAGCAAAAGAGGAAGGCAGCAGGTACAGAGGATGGGAGGAAGATGGTGGAGTCAGCTGTGGCTCCGTGAGCAGAAAGGGCAGCAAGGGGCTGGGCTGGTCCCCAGGCTCTGGAGGGATCCGGTCAGGAACACAAACTGCTCTCTGCTCAGCAAAGCAAAGGCTCCCCACAGCCTCCGTGGTGGAGGTGCTCCACCTGCATGATGCTGCGCAGCAAATGAGATCAGAAGCAAGCAAGCAAATTCCCATGAAAATGGATGGAGAAAGACAGGCAGCTCTGTAATTCACCCATCAATTCAGTTCAATTAAATTACCTTCTGAGGAGGCTATTAAAGGCTTTTTTAATAGATGTGCTATGGAAGATGGAATGACAGGAGCCTGGAAAATGGCTCCTGATGTCACGTCTACCTCCCTCCCATGTCACTCGATCTGAGTTTGGCATGGAGCTGAATTTAACATGAGAGGCAGCCTTGATGACTATGCCCCACAAAGGTGCTCCCGTGGGAGCCTGCTCCTCCCAGGGACCCACAGCGTGATCAGCACTGTTGCCTCCCCTGCATGGAGGGATCTCCAGGCTGAAGGTGCTCTGAGGGAGCCAAGAGGCAGAGGAGGACCACAGGGTTCTACATGGGGACAGAGTCTCCCATTAGTTTCAGCCAGTGCAGTCCCAGCTCCAGCTAGTCCTTCTGCTGGGACCAATTTATGGTGCTGTGCATCACAGCACGGACAATGAAGCCAAGAGCAAGTTTCATCTTTTCCCTTCCTCTACCCAACACCAACATCCCTGCTGCAATCCTATGGAGACCGACAGCCCCGCTGCATCCCAGCCACTGCCAGCTGCTCTGCGTGCCAGTGACATTTAGCTAATCAATAGGATTTAATTACGAGTCGGGCTAATCGAGCTGCCGATTAACGCCACGCTAGAGGCATACAGAAATCACAGGAGACGGATTCGTGCCATCATTCACCCCACGATGAACTCCCTGCTTCCCAAAAACCAGCCTGGACACCTCTTCCCAGGCCAAGGCATCCCATTCCAAAATGGGGCAAACTGTGCTCCCCCCGTGACAGCCCAGAAGAGACGCACAGCTTCAAGATGGGAATTTCCCTGCAGTGATAAATGTTTTATGAGTAAATCCATAAGTAATGCTGAGTGCAGACCTCCAGCGCTCGGCTTCAGTTGGAAGTGGGGGGAACATCTAAATGCTCAGCAGGGTGGAAACTCCTGGGTGTTTTCTAGCTGTGGCTGCAGCCAGCAACGCAGGGAGAGCAGCCCAGCATCTGCCCTGCATGGCCTGCTCAGGGCCAGGGAGTTGCCTGCACCACTGCCTGCATTGCCCCTTGAGGCTCGCCCCTAGCATCTCCCTCCCAAAAGCAGGAGACAAACAGGACAGCACAGCCCCACCCCTATAGATCCCCCTATAGCAGGTGACTATTTCACTCTGTGCAGCAGCTTGGGCTTTGTAGGACTGAGCAGAAAACGAGACCTTCACCCAAGACATGGCACGGCAGCACACAGCCCCTGGTGCCTGCACATGAATCGTATCCTTTTCTATCACATTTTACAGGAGAGGGCGATGCCCAGCACAGCTCAGGAGCAGCCCAGATGTTTCACACACATGATGGCACAGAGCAATACACCGGGAGAGCGTGTGGTGCTCGTGCGTGGCAGCAGGCAGCAAGGGGAAAGCCCTCCTGCCAGCCTGCCACGCTCCCGCAGTCCAGAAACAGGCTCCCACACCGCCCTGATTTATTCTCCCATCGATCCCAGCCGAGCCGCAATGTGCCTGAATTCAGCCGCGCCTGAAGCGTGAAAGGCAGGGCACGGGCAGGGCTGCTGCCAAGACTGAAAGTCATTAACGTGAGGAGGCTGCTGGCAGCCTGCCTGCTCCTGCCTGCACCGTGTCCTGAGCCTTCTGCCGGGGAGCAGCCCCTGCCCATTGCCCACGCCAACGCAGCCCTGCCACTGCCCGGGAGCGACGGGGTTTTATGGTCCTTACCTCCCCAGTGCTGCAGTACCCCAGGACAGCATCTGCTTCAGCCCCACGGTGCAGCACCAACAAGCCCTCACACCCCAGCAGTTGCCTGGGGCTCACACCAGGTGAGCCTTAATGAGGGTGACAACCTGGTGTGGGCACAGGCAGCGTGGGGAGAGGTGTGGTGGCTGCCCCATTGGCCAAGACCGTACCCCAGTTGCATCCACTAAAGGCAATGCCAAAGCATAAGACTGTCCTAAGAGGTTAAGGCTGGTGGTGGATGCTCCCTGATTGTGCCATGGTCTTCCCTTGCCCTATGGAGGCAGGACGGGCTTCATAATCTAGATGTGGACCAAAAGCAGCCCCACACTCAATCCGTTCATCTCCAGGAGGAACCAGGATCCTCACTTTCCCGGCTAGAGCCTGCAGAGATGCCAGGCGCTTGCTGCCTTCCAAAATCAGCTTCCAGATATCCATCTTTTGGCACAAAGTGCCTGACAGCAAGGCAGATCTGTGGGGAATCTATTAAGGAAACTGAAGCACCAAGTACGTTGCTCCTGGTATAACCACACAGCCTGGGGATAGCCCCATGGCTACCAGCTTCCACACTTGTACCTCCCGCAACAAAGCAATCCTCCTTTCCATTCTCCTATTCCATTCCTCCTATTCCAGCTCCATCCAAACTTGGGCTATAGGCTGTCTATCCATCTTTTGGCACAAAGTGCCTGACAGCAAGGCAGATCTGTGGGGAATCTATTAAGGAAACTGAAGCACCAAGTACGTTGCTCCTGGTATAACCACACAGCCTGGGGATAGCCCCATGGCTACCAGCTTCCACACTTGTACCTCCCGCAACAAAGCAATCCTCCTTTCCATTCTCCTATTCCATTCCTCCTATTCCAGCTCCATCCAAACTTGGGCTATAGGCTGTCCTAAGGGTCTGGAAACACCCAGCATCTCCAAGATCCCACTGAGAGTGTACACCAAGAAACACCATAGATGTCCCCAGGCAGCCAGCACCAGGACAAATCCCCCACGCAAAGCGGTGATCCCGACCTCTGCACAACACAGCAGCTGATGGCTGCAGAGCAGAAAGTTGGTGGCGGAGCACGACTGATTGGATTTAGCTTGTCACCAGTGCCTCCAAGAGCCCACTAACCCCCTTCCTGAGGATGCCCAGGATTCAATAATGGGACTCGTGAGGGACCGCAGCAGACATAGAACTGCTGGAGGTTAAAACAAATAGAGAGAAGCAAAAAGATCAGAAGGGAGAGAGAGAGTTGTTGTGGGGGGGTGTCGAAGGGAAAAAGAAAAACACCTCTCACTTGGCTGAATTAGTCCAGGTTTTAACAGCTGCTGGCAGCGACTGAAGCTCTAGGAGCTACTGGAGATGGGACGTGTCCCGAGGGCATCTTCCTTGAGGGCCTGAGACATTGTCCCCAAGACACCAGCCAGGCCAGGCCAGCCCAAGCCCAGGTCCAAGGACAACACATGTCCCAGCACTGCACTGTGGCTCCTGCATGTGGCCCTGGTGGTCCCCGACCACTGTGTCACCTCCTCTACAGGACTACTTCTATCATCTACACAGCAAACACCGGCTCCCACCGACGGCAGCCGGGGTCCTGGCCCTTACCTTTTTGTAGTCAAGTTTTGGCAGCTTTCCCCAGGCGAGAGATGAAATGAGAGCGAGCAGATGGCAATGTAAATAAAAGAGAAAAATGGGAGAATGAGAGCAGAATGGAAATGAACAGGACTCGAACGCTTGAATGTCAGAGCGGCGAAGGGGGGTCTGCCCACCCCGCGAGGAAGGGCGATGCTGGCACCGTGTGGTGCCCCAGTCCCATGGGATGGGATCAGGAACTGCTATTCCTGTACAGCCGGGTGGGCACGGGGGGGACCAGGGCTCTCCTTCGTCGGCCCTGCCTTTGCTCGCACCGCTGTTAGATCTATCACTTGCCGCTTGCGGGTCTCCTTCCTCCCTGTCTTCCTCCCACTGCAAAATAGATTGGAAATCTCCTTCTTGGCATCGCTCCCGAGCACACCAAGGGAAGCCTGACCCAGAGGCTGCCAGTGAATTCATGGGCAACAGGCAGGGGGGTGGCAGGGAGGGATGCAAAACCCACTGGCTGCCTCCTCCCTGCCCCATCCCTGCCCAGGGAGCTGCACTTGTCCCCTGCCCAGGAGCAGCTCCAGGTCTGCTGGGGCAGATGCTTCCACGCTCACCCCCAAAGCCCAGCTTTCATGCCCGAGGTCCTATTCCAGATGGGGAGAACCCTGGGGTGGGGATGTGTGTGTGCTCAGCACCCAGTACAGAGGGCTCAAACCCTGGGGTGGGGACGTGTGTGCTCAGCACCCAGTACAGAGGGCTCCAGGGTGCGGGCTGCAAATAAGCCAGTTGCAGCTGGAGGGGAGAGGAGCATCCTATGAAGGCAAATGGTCCTCTGGGGCTCCCACTTACAGCCTGTTCTCCTGCAGTTTCTCCCATCTTCTGTAAAAACCCTCCATCCCTTTCCAAGATCTACAGGGACTTAAGTTTTCTTCCACCAACCCACCGCTGGTGGAGACTAGCTGTGTTGACCTGGAGTCCTTGCTGCTTCAGACCTCGTGCCAGGGGAAGCAGGGAGGAGCTGAGAAGTGCCCAGAAGCACCTTCCACAGGCCTGGAGGCAGAATCAGGACCTCAGTTATCTGTTTCTGATCCAAAATGTGCAAAAAAACCCCTAATTGCTTCAATCACGCAGACGGCAAAGGCGCTGAGGCAGAGCACTTTGTGGCAATGATTAGCAGCATTTAAAAGAGCCATTTATAAACTGACAGCCGGTCACAGCGTCAAGTAAATAACAACATCGGGTTGGGTGCTTTTCTTAAAAGCATCAATAGCTGCAACCACCACCTCATCACGGGGATGAGCAGCCGTCTCTGTCCTGCTAGAAATACCCTGAAAGGCAGGGACAGAAGGGAAGGAGAGGGCAGAGCACTGGGTGTTGGGGACAGCAGAGCCCCCAGTGCAGCCCAGGGACACAGGGACACCCGGCTGTCCCCACACACTGCCCTCACTGCTGCATTGGCTTGGCACAGCCGTGCCATTCGGGTGGCCTCATGGTTTTGGCAGGGCTCTGGTGGCCCCATAACATAGGACAAAGGTGGCCAGCTCCAGGCATATTTGGTCCTCACCAGCACTGAGACATACCTTGGCTTTATTGATCGTGCAGTGGAGAGCGTTGTTTTCTTGATCGTAGAGCAAGCTGAAATCCAGCGTCCCCAGCGTGGCTGCAAAGGAGAAAAGACGTTATTAACCCGTGAGGCCCAGCAAACATCGCCTCTTCTCCCTCTAAGCACAAAAGGAATGGATGAAGATGCTAAAGAAATGGCTGCAGACATTATGAAACATAAAGCATCCTCCTGTGAGCCCTGTTATGAAACATGGCTTCATGCTGGGAGATTGGTGGCCACCCCCCACGTTTGGCCGGCGGGGCTGGCACAGCCCTGGGAGAGGAGCGAGAGGGATGAGTGGCTGCTGCTCACCCGGGCACTGCAGCCAGCACAGAGGATTTGCCTCTGTGGGCTTCCACGCTGGTGGCCCCCATCTATCAGCTGCCCCAAAGCAGCCAGAAGCCTCCTGTCCCCCAGGAGATGAAGGCTCTTCTCTGGGAAGATCCGGGCACAGCTGGGACACAGCCGAGACCCGCTGCCGGCACATCTCCCCCGCTCCAGTGCCGCTGCCATTCCCAGAACGCGTATTTGTATACTGACACCTTCAAACAAATGAGCCACCAATGGGATCCCTTCCCAGCTCCAATTTGGCTGCAAACTGTAAATTAAACCCAGTGAGAATGGAAATACTTTTATGGTTAAAATGAAAAACACCAACAGCTTTTAATCAGAGCAGTGTTCCCTTACGGCATCTGCAACTCAGGAATGGCAGCAATAGGGCAGCTCCTGGGATGGGACCGCAGGGAATGGGCAGGAGAGGAGACCAAACCAAAAGAGCCTCAGCAGCAAAAGTACGTTTGATTTGAGAACTCCTTCCCTATGGACAATCTGAGCAAGTCTTGCTAATCCAAAGCAGGAGAAAAGCCTTAAAAAGACATGCTTTCCAAAACCATGATTTAAGCTTCTCCAAGGCTCCCAGACCCAATTTGCAGACCAAAGCCCAGACACAGAGCAGCATCTCCCCTGGCACAGCTTCACCTGCTGCCAGACCTGAACTTCCAGACCCCACAACCCACACTTTTCTGTGCCCACCATCCCAAAAGGGGTCTGCCCGAGCGCTGCCCTGCCACCGCGCAGCATCCCACCGCTGTTTCCAAGGTAACTGCACCTTCCCTTCGTGCACGCAGGTTCAGAGCAGGGGAAAAGAAGAAACACCAAATAAAAACCAGAACAATTTTGCTTAATATCAAAGCAGGGTTCGCTGCCTGGGAGGTAAGTTAGACAAACTTTATGGCAGGAAATAAGGTGCTTTTTTTTCCAGTGTAAACAGCCTCTGCAGCAAGGCGCCCCGGGAGGCGGTGGATTTTCAAGGGACTGAAACCTTCCTGCTGCAATTTCACAGCGATCTTCCACCCCAAACACAAGTGAGCTACAGGTTTGCCTGCTACCAAATAAAAATCATTGCTCCGGGGAAAACGCTTTGCCTTCAAAGCAGAGAAAATATTCAGAGAGCTTTCTGCCAGAATAATATACACCCACCCCCCCCCCTCTGGAGTAATTTCATGGCACATTAGCTATTGGTTTAGGTAAGTCATAAATCAGTGGGGTTTACTTGCCAGGGAAGATGGACCTGATGCAGGGTGAGGCCAAACCTCTAAGCACCTGGTGCGTCATCTCTGGGTTTGGCCCAAACGGGCATTTCCCGAGCAATTACCGGCCAAACTCGCTCCACATGATGCAAGGAGGAGGAAAGCGCGGCAGCGCGATGGCGAGCCCACGGCCACGTATGGCACAGTCAGAGCACCAGCCCGGGGGACCAGCACAGCCCGCCGTACCAGGGCGGGTGTAGCAGGAGGCTCCACATAACACGGGCGAAAGCAAAATCAGCAAAACTCAGCAAATCTGCATTTTTTCACTTGAGAGCGGAAGATGAAGCCTCCGGTTTCGGAGCCTCATCATTTCCACCTGCCCTTTAATCAGCCGCTTCCTGCCAGCCCCACCGCTCGGCCCTCCCAAGTTCAAGCTGTTATTTTATTTTTATCACAGAAGGGGGCCTGCGGCTTAGCCTGCTGGATTTGGCAATTTATAAAACAAATTAAAAGCTTGGCGCGGAAACAGACTTTGGCCAGGAAATACTGACAAAGCCTCCTGTCCCCTCGGAGCCACAACCTGCCCCAGGGGTGAGGGCACTGGGGAGCCCTGCTCCGGCAAGACAGGCAAAACCCAAAACCACCATCACACAGCAGCAGATGTGTGTTTTACAGCTGGGGACGAAGGTCCTGCTCCCCAGTGCTGGTCCCTGAGCAAACGTTGAGCAGTTCCCATTGATCTTGGAGCTGCAAGCAGGCAGGAGGGCATAGACAGGGGTGTGTGGCTCCTCCCGAGCCCTGCCAGTCTCCATCCCCAGCTCTCCACCAGCTCCAGAGAGGCTTTCCTCTACACAGGGATTTTTTTTCACTGATAGCAAGTCAAGGAAGGGGCTGCCTTCGGCAGAGGGATGTGGAAACATCAGCAGAACATGTTGTGCTAATTGTTTTAAAACGCGTCCGTATGGAGATGACAAAAGGGATCAGGCTAACTTGGGGCTTGGCAGCTAAGGTGCCGCTACGGAGCCGTGGGCGAGTTCTGCCACCAGAGCCAGGAGCCAGCGGGGTGGCGGATGCTGGGGACACATCTCCCACAGGAGCAAAGCACCTGAGGCACGGTCACGGCCCCGCCGGCTCCGTTACCTCCTGGGCAAAGGATCCAGAGACAAGGCTGATGCTCAAGCTGCCTGTGTCCCTGGATGTCCGATCCCAGGCAGACTGGCCCCACGGTTGCTCGGGGTGCTGAGGAGATGGCAGGAGATCTCCAGCTGAATCCAGAGATGGGAGGCACCCCACAGCCAACAACAGCTCCGAGCAAACCCCCACGGGGCTGCAGTTCAGCCATAGAGCCAGCCCCTGTACTCCCAGAGCGGGGAGCTCGCTGAGCAAGCAGCCAGGGAAGCCAACACCAGAACACCGGCGCCGGTCTCACCGCTCCTGCAAAACCCCTGGCAGCACATCCAGCCCTGGCTGTGAGAGACCCACCATCTCCAGCCAACAGGATCAGGCTCAAAGCCTCCGGGCTGCAGCAGCCACTCAGGCACACACCAAGCTCTGAACGGGCCCTTCTGTAAAGTGGCCGAATCGCCCTTCTTTGATTGCTCTCCTCCTCCCACCCATCCTCACAGCTGAGATGCAACTCAATTGTGCTCTTAATTAGGGGAGCAAATGCCTAAAAAAGAAAAGGGCAGCAATTAAACTCAAAGCACTGTTACTAGATGTATTTAACTCGGCTGGGCTATTCTAAACACTGCCCTCTAATCACACAGGCTGCAAATAAAAAATATAAATAAGTGTCTTTGTCAGGCATTACAAAGGCAGCTTTGCGCTCTGCAGACAGCAGGCAGGATGTATCATTATTATTACGATTATTCTGCTCCAATGATAAAATAACCATTAGGAGAGCTGAACTCATTAGCAGGTTCTGACCCTCTTTCCTCTCCACGAATTGGGAGAGATTGATGGGAAGGTGCCAGCCAGGGTCTGGCATTTAACACAGGCTCTAAAAAGGAAAATAAATCTGACTTGCACAGGAATGCGGCCTCTTCTCCCACTGACCTTTTGGGCGTTTTGATTAATTCAGTGGGCCACAAAATTATTAGAGGCCAGCAAAACGGGCAGATGCGTCTCCAGGCTTAGCTGTGGGATACGGCGAGCGCGCCTGGAGCCCGCGGGCAGCGCGGCGTCCTGGCACAGCGCCGCTACCGCCCTTGTTGGTGGAGTCGGCAGAAATTGTTTATTGCTGACATTTCCCACCAGCGCCCAGGGTGACGGGGAGGCTGAAGTAGCTTCTATTTTTACCTGCGGGATGAAAGGCAAAACGCAGTGATAAATCTGTGCTCTGCTCCCTTATCCAGCCCCTGTCCTTGCAGGCTACATGCCCTCGCCTGGCCCACGCCGGGTCGCAGATCCACTCCCTCGGTGGCCTGGGACATCCCAGGGAGAAGTTTCTCAGTCCAAGAGATGCTCAAGACATGGAAGAGGCACCAGCACTTGCAGCACAGACCCATGAGCTTTGGCACAGCCCGTAGAAGAGGGAACCGATGATTGAGAGGGCTCTTTACCTTCCAAAGTCAGGGAATCTTCCGCGTCGCGACTGCCTTTCGAAAGCCCAGCAAGGCTCTACGCTGGGAGAAAGTGAGGTGTGCACAAAAAAAACCCACTATAGAACTAATTAAAAAGAAGTCCAAAAGCCTTAAGTCCCTCTGCTTATCAGCATTGCTGCTCCCAAGATAATCTGCTCATGGATTTTGTGCCAGGGAGATCAGAGTGGAGCAGTAAAAAGACTGCTGGGGATTGTCTGGATTAGCTCTCCCTTACAGAAAGCACAGGTTCACTAACCTTCAGACTGGGTATTTTTTAATGCACTATAAAAGATAGGTCCCTATTCTTCCATTGCTTTAATTTTCCTCTGCAATGGAGATAATTTTAAAGGTCCTGAAAGGCAGCAAGTAATTCTGTGCACTTACAGCCCCATGTAAAATGTCGGTAAATGACTCCTCAAGAGGAACAGAAATTATTCCTTGCCATTTCCAAGCAGGGCTGCTGAAGATGCTTTGGCAGGTGGCTGCCTGTGCTCCTGACTCCCCGGGTGCGACAGCACCTCGTCCAGGTCCAGCAGCACATGGACCAACTCCCTGAGCCACATAGGAGTGAGCCCTGGAAAACTCCTGGGGTTACCCCTAAAAAACAGCACTGTCAGTCCCAGCAGCCTCCTACAGCTGGGGCTGAGCTTGCCCAGCACCTGCAGCACTCTTGGTCCATACACCAACCCACTTGGGCTGCTGCTTGTGGCTCACGTGCCTCCACGGGGAGAGGGTGCATGGCCTGTCAGGGATGGATCCCACCCTGACGGCTGCAAGCCCTCCAGATCTGATGGTAGCACTGACTTCTGCCACAAACCTACTGTCAAAGGCACCACTGTGGGTTTCAGCATCAGCTGGGGAAAGGTGGTGAAGGCAGGTGGAATCGGGACGCTTCTGAAAGTCAGCATCACCATGAGCTACTCCACGAAAAAGTGTCCTGTGGAAG